CGGGGCGGGAGCCTGGGCCCCTGGATGACTGCGTGGAGCACCTCACCTGCAGGAACACCCTTTGGACTTCACCTGGGCCAGAAACACACACCTATTGGGCCACACACCTCAGACGCTGAGGTTTAGCCGATACATAGGTCATTTGTGTGCGAGTGTAAAACAGAAAAACATACTGTTATTTTTTTCAAACTACTGTGTTCCTCCCGTTTAGAGAAAAAACAAGATAGAACCAGTCCTCTGGTGGCTCACTCTCCCCACCTGGCCAGGAGCGGCTGCGCCCTCGCCCTCGAGGCTGCACCTGGCGCCTCCACACCCCGCCCTGTGGATGGTGATTTGCAAAGGACCGTCTCTGATCTCCCCCAAGCCCGGCAAACTGGCCCCGCCCCAAAGCCACCTATGACGCTCACCCGCCCTCCCCGCAACCTGCTCTCCTCCCAATGAGCCGCCTCCCTTCACCAGGTGCTCAAGCTCGCCACTTGTTGGCACCTCCCTCCCTCCTTCCCACACCCCCCACCGTCAACCTCTCGCCAAGTCCTGCTGGTGTTTCCTCCTGAATGCCTAGCCAGTTCACCACCTCTGTCCCCCCACCCTCACCCCCATCCTCTCCCACCTGGGCCAGTCCCTAAGCTCCTGCTTGGTGTACCCACCTGGTCCTCCTGCCCCTCCAATCCATTTCCTACCCTCAGCTGCATGATCTTTGCAAAATATGGGTTTAACTAACGTCACCTGCTCTCCCGCATCGACCATTTCTAAGCTTCATCGTGTTCTCACAGAATGACGGCAGCTCCCGAGGCCTGTAGGCCAGGCCCAGTCTGCCCCCAGCCCACCCCCACTCACCGGCCCCTGTGCTCACCAGCCCCTCCTGCTGCCAGCGCTCTGCGCAGCTCAGCCCCTACCTGAGAACCCCTGCCTCCTCTCAACTCCCTTGTCCTCAAGCAACGCCTGCCCCTCCCAACAAGGCACATCCCATTATAACCCTCGCAGCGCCGCATGCCTCCCTCGGAGCACTTTCTGGGGTGTAATTCATGGCAGGGTGTCTAATCGCTTGTGTGTCCTCCACTCAGCCCACCTCACCTCTACCCCAGGGCCTTTGCACCTGCTCCTCCCGCTGCCTGGCATGACGGTCCCCAGGTGTCAGCATGGCCAGCCCCTCACCTCCTCCAACTCTTTCTTCAGGTGTCACCTTCCAGGTGAGGACTCACCAACAACCCTGTTTTACAAAAACCGCGGCGGCACCGCCTCCAGCCCCACGCTGCTGAGCACCCTCTCCGGGGAGCTGCTATCTCCTGGCATCTCACTTATTGATGGAATCTGTGTTTTTATTTTTTATTATTATTTTGTTAACCCTCATCCAAGGATATTTTTTCCATTGATTTTTTTTTCTTAAAGAGAGAGTGGAGGGGAAGGAGAGAGAGAGAGAGAGAGAGAGGAGAGAGAGAGAGAGAGAAACATCGATGTGAGAGAGAGATCAACTGGTTGCTTCCCACAGGCACCCAGACCCAGACGGGGATTGAACCCGCAGGCAGGTGTGTGCCCCTGATCGGGAAGCTCCAACCACTGAGCCACACTGGCTCTTTCATGTGTCTCTTCCTCTCTAGGGTGTCAGGCCCCAGGGGCGGGAACTGTTGTCTGATTTCTCATCGCCCACACCCCAGTCCCTCGAATAGCGACTCGCCCAGTGGCCCTGACGCACCTGTGAAGCGAATAAGTGACTGTGGTAGAATATTCTAGGCAGGGCCGCCTGATCCCTCCTGTCGCGGCCGGGCCCAGGGCACACAGTGCTGTTAGGGATCCACGAAACCAGTTCATTGCTTTTAAAATCAGAAGGAAAAAACGAGACCTCTTAGGCCACGGGAAAATGTTTTAACATAAAGAATCGATATATTCATCTATAAACCAACACGGCCATAAAATACATTTTTACTATTTTTTTAGTAGAGAAGGGCTTGCGGTGGTATGAGCGCCTCCGGCCCTCCACCCCCGGGGAAGTCACAGCGCCTGTTCCGGCCGGGCACTCCCCGCCGCAGGGGCCTGGGAGTCACCTTCCAGCCTCGGTCAGGTTATCACAGCCCCGGGTCTGCCTGTGCGGAGAGTCAGGGCGAGGCTGGAGCAGGAGGAGGCTGCTAGCAGCTGGTTCCCTCCGGAGGCACCGTCCTGGACACTAAGGGTTTGTTTTCCGGCTTCGCAGGGAGTAGAGGCAGGTGCCCACGGAACCAGGGCTCCCAGGGTCAACTGACCCACACGCAGGGGCCACAATTCAGTCATCAGATTGTTAAATTCCTGCCTCAAGCCCACGAGGTATTAACCTTGAGAGTTGGTGGGAGGAAGAGTGTGGAAGGGGTGCGGCCCTGGGTGACCCCGTGGCAGGAAGACTGGTTCCCTATAGAAGAGAAAGACAGGAGGAAAGGAGTCGGCTCGTAGGAGGGTCACTGTGAGCACTCACACTGCATGGGCACGGTGTATCTTTATTAATCGACTCGTGCACCAGTGGGGTCCCTCCGCCTGGCCTGTGGGATCGGCCGAAACCAGCTCTCTGACATCCCCGGGGGGGTCCTGGATTGTGAGAGGGCGCAGCCCAGGCCGAGGGACCCCACCAGTGCACGATTGGGGCCAGGGAAGGACTGTGGAAGGGCTCCAGAGCGTGTCTGGCCTGTCTCGCTCAGTCCTGATCAGCCGGACCCCAGCAGCAAGCTAATCTATCAGTCAGAGCATCTGCCCCCTGGTGGTCAGTGCACATCATAGAGACTGGTTGACCGGTTGACTATCTGCGCCCTGGTAGTCAGTGCATGGCATAGCGAGCGGTTGAGCAGTTTTAGCATATCATTAGTATATTACACTTTGATTTAAAAAATATATTTACACTTAATATCATTAGTATATTACACTTTGACCGACTGGTCAACTGGACACTTAGCATATTAGGCTTTTGTTATATAGGATGTACAAGGGCCTGAGCTAGACCAGGGGAACTCAAACAACGGGGTGAGCTTTAACAAATTCTAAATCCTGATGTGATGGTCACATGTGAATCATATTCGTCACGAAGGACGGCTTGTGCACATAGTTCTTGGGGACACCTGTTCCTGTTGTAGAGGAGAGCATGGAGGTCTGAGGCCACAAGATAAGCCACTTACGGAGGTGAGAGCCGACTGAGTCCATCCCTGTCCTCTGGGGATGGCATCCATCTCTTAGCAGGTCTTCAGGGCCTTGGTGATCAGCTCATCCCTGCCTGATGGCTCCTCTCTCCCCGCACCACCATCGGGCCCACATGTCGCACCTGCGCTGCTTACATGGGTGGTTCCTGTTTAGAAGGGCCTTCCCTCCCCTTCCCCCCAACTCGTGGGCAAGAACGATGCCTCTTTTATCTCTGCAGCCAGTGTCTGCGTACCCCGTACTCGGCTGCATGGGAGCGTGGGTGGGTAGGTGGGTGGAAAGATGGCCGGAAGGATGAATGGGTAGATGAATGAATGGACAGACGGACGGACGGGCGGATGTTTAGAAGGGTAGACGAGTAGATTAGAGCAGCGGTCGCCAACCTTTCGGACCTCATGGACCACCAGTGGTCTGTGGGCCACTGGTTGGCAACCGCTGGACTAGAGGATGGGTAGGCGCATATGAGGATGGGAGGATGGATGGAAGGTTGCGTGGGTGAGTGAGGGGGTGGGAGGGCGGGGGGGTGAGTGGATGATGGGAAGGAGGAGGGATGGGTGAATGTATGTTTATTTGTATGTTTGTCTGGGAGGGGATGGGCAGATGGGTAGGCTAGAGGAAGAGTGGGTGGCTATGTGGACGGATGGACTCCAAGCGTTCCCCACTGTGAACTCAACTTTCCCCGAATGAAAAGGGCAAGTGGGTGCAGTCGGGGTAGCAGAGGGGAGCCCCCGGGAAAGCTGGCCCTCGAAGTGGAGGCGGGTGAGTAACTGCTGGCCTCCGAATGGGCTTTCCCCACAGGAACTGCCAGCGGCCCCCCTCGCGATGATCCCCGCGGCGAGCAGCCCCCCTGCGGGAGAGGCCCTCTTCCCCGCCGTGGCGCCCCAGGACTTCTGGAGGTCCCCGATCTCGGGCTACGCGGGGTCTGCCACCCGGCACATCAGCCACCGGGCCAACAACTTCAAACGACACCCCAGGAGGAGGAAGTGCATTCGCCCCTCCCCGCCCCCGCCCCCCAACACCCCGTGTCCCATCGAGCTGGTGGACTTCGGGGACCTGCACCCCCAGAGGTCCTTCCGGGAGCTGCTCTTCAACGGCTGCATCCTCTTTGGCATCGAGTTCAGCTACGCCATGGAGACGGCCTATGTGACCCCCGTGCTCCTGCAGATGGGCCTCCCGGACCAGCTCTACAGCCTGGTGTGGTTCATCAGCCCCATCCTCGGTGAGCCCGCAGCCCGGCGGGTGCCCCCAATCCTCCCGGTGCCCCTGGAGCCTCCGTGGAAGCAGCTCATGGGTCCCTAGGGGACAAGGGAGGAGCAAGAGCTCAGTCCACACATCAGTCCGGGGCCATAGGAAGCCCAGGCATGGCCGGCCGGCCCCTGTATTTTAGGAAACTTTGTCTAAACCAGTTTATAACCCGGTCGGCGTGGCTCAGTGATTGAGCATCAACCTAAGAATCAAGAGGTCCCGGTTCGATTCCCTGTCAGGACACATGCCCGGGTTGTGGGCTCGATCCCCAGTGTGGGGCATGCAGGAGGCAGCCAATCAATGACTCTCTCTCATCATTGATGTTTCTCTCTCTCTCTCTCTCCCTTTCTTCTCTGAAATCAATAAAAATATATTTTAAAAAATAAACAAATTATATATATATTTTTTTATTTCAGAGAGGAAGGGGGAGGGAGAGAGAGATAGAAGCATCAATGATGAGAGTCATTGATCGGCTGTCTCCTGCACGCCCCCTACTGGGGGTTGAGCCTACAACCCCGGCATGTGCCCTTGACCGGAATCAAACCTGGGACCCTTTACTCCATAGGCTGGTGTTCTATCCACTGAGCCAAACCAGCGAGGGCAAAAATAAATATATATATATTTTTTTAATAATAAAATAAAATAAAAATAAGGGCAAAAATATATATATATATATTTTTTTAATAATAAAATAAAATAAAAATAAACCAGGTTATAGAACAGGGTTTCCATCCCCCACGGACCAGCGCCATCTGGTGCCGAGCTAACACCAGAGAGTCCAAGCCATACAGCTTGACCTGGGTTGGGTCTGGGAGGGCCTGGAAATGCTTGAATTCCCAAGGTCATGGCTGCTTAGAGACTTACAAGGGCCTTACGAGGAAATGAGGGGAGCGGAGTGGTTCCGAGGGTCCGTTTGTCTTTCGTCTCTAGCGCAGCGGTTTATCGCTGACTCCCCACGTCTGAGACCCTGGGGACGTGCGCTCGCAGGTGTGTCAGGAACGGGCAGAGGCTGTGCCCGTGGGGGCCCTGAGCCGCGGGAACGGGCAGAGGCTGTGCCTGTGGGGGCCCTGAGCCGCGGGAACGGGCTGTGTCTGTGGGGGCCTGAGCCGCGGGAACGGGCTGTGTCCGTGGGTCCCTGAGCCGCGGGAACGGGCAGAGGCTGTGTCCATGGGGCCCCTGAGCCGCGGGGACCCCGGCATGACCACCGCCCGTTCTGTTCCAGGATTCCTACTGCAGCCGCTCCTGGGTGCTTGGAGTGACCGATGTACCTCAAGGTTTGGACGGAGGCGCCCTTTCATTCTTGTCCTGGCCATAGGTCTGTTGTTCGGGGATTGAAATTAAAAAAAAGAAAGAAAAGAAAAGAGGCCTCAGTGCTTCTCGTAGGAAAACCTAGGAGTGCTGACCGAAGCCCTTAGCCAGATAACCCCCCTGGCCTGTGGCCGGGCCACCCGCCCTGGCCCGTGGCCTCTGAGAACAGATGGCTTTGGTTATGTGTTTATTTTTAATGAGTTAAGTTCATGTCATTCCTGCTCTACTTGACCATAGAAAACCCCGATCCAAGTTAAAACAAAAACAGAAACTGGTGAGTCTGCAGGTGGCACGGCCAGGGGCTCGGCTGGGACTGTGACTAGAAAGGAATTCCTGGGCCCCGAAGAGTCCGGGTGTCCGTCGCGGGGCCGGTCCGCGTGTCCCGCGGTGACCGTCTCTCTGTCCGCAGGGGCGCTGCTGGGCC